ACAGCAGCAGCAGCTGCTTCCCTGCCACAGCCTGGGTGCCGTAATCGTGGCCCCGTTAGGAAAATTGATGATGATTCCATCTGACACCCCTCGGTTCGGGGGAAGACTTTACAAATGCTCGCTGAACACCTGACAAAATCCAGCCTGACTCATGACTAAATTAGCCTGTATTTTATGCTGAAAAAAAAAAAAAAAACCAAAAACCACCTTCCTAAGTGTTTGACTCAATAAAGCTCCCATTTAGCTCGGGAGGGTGTTCCCATCCTTCTGCAGCACTAAAAGGAAGCTGTGATTAAGCTTTACACGCTGGTTTTGCTGCTCTGAGCAGTTTATTTGATGTTTCCTTTCCCCAAGAGCACCTGAATTCACACCTCTGCCGGCTCTGCGGGGCTCACAACCCTCCCCTGCTCCGTCTGACAGGAGAAATAAGTGTTAAAATGTGACAAAACAATCCGGGGCAGGAATCACAGCACGCACAGACAATGGAGGAAGAGACTCCTGGAGTCTGCAGCTGGATCTTTGGGAAGGAGACACATCAGGAGCTGAGAGCAGGCCGTGCTCCAACACAGGGGGCCAGCAGTGCTTGTTGTGAAGAAGTGAATTTAAACCCTCAAAACCCCAATTCCAAAAGTTTCCTCCATTCCTCCCACCCTTTTCAAAGAGGGGGGAGAAAATAAAATCTAATAACAATGGAATGGTCTCATTAGAAAATCAGAAAATGGTTTGGGTTGGAAGGGACCTTAAGGATTATCTTGTTCCACCCCCTTGCCATGGATAGGGACACCTTCCCTAGACCAGGTTGTCCAACCTTGGCCTTGCTCTTTCCCAGTCTTTCTTATTCCCTTCCCTGTTGTTGTTTCCAATGGAAAAACTTGGAAATCCAAGGAAAAGCTGCTGCTGTTTTGGGCTGTGCTGGGCTGGACTCGCCTCTCAAGTCTCTCTCCCTCACTGGCTTTGCCCTGACAAGGACAGATGTTCCTGCCCCAGATGTGTTTGTTCTTCCCCAGCCTTTGAATCCTCCCCAAATCCTCTTGGCTTTGAGAACTTTGCTCCTTTGTGCTTCCCTGAAGAGGCTCTGCCTCGGTTTGGGGAACGGAGACCTCAGACATCCCACCACACAGGATGGCAAACACCTCATCAGGGGCCTCTCCTCCAGCCCACCCAGCTCCTCCCACCAGAATCACGGAATCCTCAAGGCTGGAAAAGACCTGCAAGCTGATCCAGTCCAGGAAAAAAAAACCTAACCAAACCCAACAGATGAAATGCAAGGCAGGTACAGGACAACACCTGATTCCTGGGATAAAGCCTGGGAGAAATGGATCAAACTGCCCCAACCAGGAAAGAGATTTTCAGAATTTTAGTCAAAAACTCGAACTAACCTCTGGGTGAAATCCTGACAGGAATAATTTATGGGGAAAAAAAGGGCTGCATGTGCACACCCACCACAGCCTGAGGGAGGTTTTTTACAAACTTCATCGAGGCAAATTATTTCTATGGCGACTAATGGGGCTTTCAAAAGCTGAAGCAACAAGTGTTTTGGGAGCAGAACGGTGGAAACCAGGGATAAAAGTTTTATGTTTTAATACTTATGTATCAAAATCACTCCATGGATAATAAGACAGACGTGCAAGGATGTGCTTGGGGGGCTCAGGGCTTTTAATACACTCAAGAGTGAGGTGAGTTTTGGGGATCAAAAAGGTCCCTTCCATCCCAAACCATTCCAGGATTCTGTGATTCTATAAATTCCCAGGGCAGGTTCTTGACTTCTTCCAGTCTTTTAAAACAAAAGGTTTTAAACAGTGTTTGGGATTCTCCTGCCTTGCAATAATCCCTGCAGCTTTATATTAATTCTCCCCCACATTCTCATGGATGTTGATTGGACTCCAATAAAACTCAAAGCAATTTGCAATTTCGAAGTGCAACTAGCACTGAACACACAAATTTCCTTGTTTCCCACCTGCCAGGGACCATTTTGGGGTGGGAAGGCAGTAAAGAGAAAATCTGGAGACAAAGGTCAGAGTGAGGGAGTCACTGCAAGAGGAGCTGGAGCAGATCAGTCATCCCTCCCTTCCAGAACTCCATCCATTGATCCCAAAGTTAAAAGCGAGGTCTGGAAATACAAAAAAAAAATTGGGTTTTGGGAGGACTGACATGAGAGGGGAGGGGAAAAAAGGAAAATATTCCTTTATTTCTCCTCCCAGACTTCCACCTGCAGCCTCAAATCCCACAGGGGTCACATAGAAATCCCTGGGAATGTTCCAGGCCAGCTTGGATGAGGCTTGGAGCAACCTGGGCTGGTGGAAGGTGTCCCTGCCCATGGCAGGGGGTTGCACTGGGTGGGCTTTGAGGTCCCTTCCCACCCAAACCATTCCAGGATTCCATGATTTTATAAATCCCTTCTCACAGTTTACAAAACCAAAGGAGTTTCTGTGGGCACCAACAACTGGAAAAGTTCAAGGAACACGTGCAAGTGTAACAACATCCTTAAAACACATAATCACAGGCTTTATAAACTCACTGCCCAGTGGGTGATAAATATCCTTTTCAAAACAATTCCCACGCAATTTGCAACCCAGATGCAAAAAAACCTCCTGTGCAAAAAGGAGGGGAAAAATTGAAATCCTGGAAATACTGGCAATTAGCACAAAGTGGGGATGGAAGGGTCATGGAGGGAAAAGAAAATAAAAACACATTTTCAGCACTTCAAGGAGAAGAATCGGAGAAGGGGCTGGGGTGGAAGAGACCTGGCCCTGCCCAGGACATCCCAAAATCTCACCACGGCCCTGAGAGCGTTGTCCAAACACTCCTTGAGCTCTGGAAAGTTTGGGGTTGTCACCAAACCCTGGGGAGCTGTTCCAGAGGCCAATCCCCCTCTGGAGAGGACAACCAGCAGTGGGAGAGGACACAAGAGCAGGGCAGGGACTGCTTCTCATTCCTTGCAGGACACCAAATATTAAACATCCTCATCACCTCAAATACTAAACATCCTCATCACCCCAGATATTAAACATGCTCATCCCACCAAATACTAAATATCCTCCTCACACCAAATATCACCCCTTCTTATTTGGGCTGTTTTAGAAGTCAAACACTTGTCCCAGTCTTTTTTAACCCAGGGTTTGTTTTCTTTTTTTATTCCTCCCCTTTCAGCTGGTAAAGGCCAGACAGAAATCACTTAATTTATAAGGAGAATGGTTTGGTTTATAATATGATTTCAGTGTGTGATTTCAGCTCAGAGGGCAAATGTGTGGAGTTAAAGTAGAGTTTCCTAAACCAGCCTGACTTTCACCTTCCCTGGAACCAGCATGGAAAAAAACTTCAATTTTTTTTAGCTTTAAATCTTCTCCATGAATTGGAAACAGCCACAGAATGAAGGGCAGAGAATCAGCACATCTGTCCTTCCTGGGGGAACATCACTTGGACACAGACTGGAGCTCTCCCAGTGAATTCCCTTCTCCCAACTCCCACACACTTGCAAGGGAGAGGTCTTTAATTCACCCCTTTACAAAGAAAATGCCTCGTGATTGATCCTGATCAAAACTAACTGATTAATGAGTGCTCACAGAGGGGAGAGACGAGGACACAGCAGGGCAGCTGCAGCACAAACTCTCAAGACCCTCTGCCTTTGAATGTGATCCCATAAAACAGGGTTAGACCTGGAAAAAGCTCATTTATTCCCGTTGGATTTCGTCTTCTCCAGCTGCAGTGCTGGGGCTTCACAGGGAGCACCCGAATTACCAGGACAGCTGTTCCTTGCTAAACAATCTTTCACTAAAATAAAAAATTTCTTTACCAAACAATTGTTTTTTTACTGAACATTTGTTGTCCTGATGTTTGGTTTTTCCTCCTCCCAACCTCTGGATCCCAAACACTTGCACCAAAGACGCTGAAATGCAAATATTCCTGATCTTTAACACCAAAAAAAGCCACCAAAAACCCAACAACCATCAACTTTTCAGCTGTTGCTGTTTCTTCTTCAACATTCCCGATATCCAACCAAATCCTGGCAAAAAATCCACCCCCCCACATGGATCCTATTCCGTGGATCTCAACCACTCGACAGAAGATGGAAGCAGATGGTGGAGATCCAGAGCACAGGGAAGGGATGGGGGGCACAGGGAAGGGATGGGGGGCACAGGGAAGGGATGGGGGGCACAGGGAAGGGATGGGGGGCACAGGGAAGGGGTGGGGGCACAGGAAGGGATGTGGGGCTGAGGAAGGGATGGGGCACAGGGAAGGGATGGGGGCACAGGGAAGGGATGGGGGGCACAGGGAAGGGATGGGGGGCACAGGGAAGGGATGGGGGGCACAGGGAAGGGATGGGGGCACAGGGAAGGGATGAGGGGCAGGGAAGGAAGGGATGGGGGGCAGGGAAGGATGGGGGCACAGGGAAGGGATGGGGGCACAGGGAAGGGGTGGGGGCACAGGGAAGGAAGGGATGGGGCACAGGGAAGGGATGGGGGCACAGGGAAGGGATGAGGGCACAGGAAGGAAGGGATGGGGCACAGGGAAGGGATGGGGGCACAGGAAGGGTGGGGCACAGGAAGGGATGTGGGGCACAGGGAAGGGATGAGGGGCACAGGGAAGGGGTGGGGGCACAGGAAGGGAAGGGATGGGGGCACAGGGAAGGGATGGAGGCACAGGAAGCAGTGGGGGCACAGGGAAGGGATGGGGGCATAGGGAAGGATGGGGGGCACAGGGAAGGGATGGGGGGCACAGGGAAGGGATGAGGGGCACAGGGAAGGGAAGGATGGGGGCACAGGGAAGGGATGGGGGGCAATCAGGAAGGGATGGGGGCACAGGGAAGGGATGGGGGCACAGGAAGGGATGGGGGCACAGAAGGTGGGGGCACAGGAAGGGATGGGGGCACAGGGAAGGGATGGAGGGGCACAGGGAAGGGATGGGGGCACAGGGAAGGGCATGAGGGGCACAGGGAAGGGATGGGGGCACAGGGAGGGATGGGGGCACAGGGAGGGATGGGGGGCACAGTGGGGGCTCACCTGTGGGCGGGGGTGGCCGGTGACCAGGCAGGTGAGCTCCAGGGTCTCTCCCTCGCGGATGGTGTAGACCCTCTCGGAGTATCGCTCCTCCTCGATGTTACAGGCCAGGCCTGAGTGCACGATCCTCACTGTGGGGGGTGCTGGGGGAACAGAGAGGGGAGAGAGCAGGTCAGCAATGCTCCTCCAACCCGGGGACCACCCCTCAGACCAGCCCAGAATCCCAGAACCAACCGGGCTGGAAAAGCCCTCTGAGATCATCCAGTCCAAGCCAGGACCCAACCCCACCCTGTCACCCAGCCCATGGCACTGATGCCACATCCAACCTGTCCTTGAACACCCCCAGGGATGGGGAATCCACCCCTGCCTGGACAGCCCATTCCAGTGTCTGGAAAGAACTTCTTCCCAGTGTCCAAGCTGACGCTCTCCTGGTGTAGCTTGAGACCGAGCACTGGTGTCCTACTGCTGGTTCCTGGGAGAAGAGACTGACACCCCTCTCACTACAGCTTCCTTTCCTCACACAGACACCCCTTTGCTCCTCAGCATGTACACGGAATCACAGGACATGTCAAGTTGGAAGGGACCCAAGGACCATCCAGTCCAACCCCTGGCCTTGCCCAGGACACCCCAACAATCCCCCCTGTCCCTCAGAGTGTTGTCCAAACCCTCCTGGAGCTCTGGCAGCCTTGGGGCCGTGCCCACTGCCCTGGGGAGCCTGTTCAGTGCCAACCACCCTCTGGGGGAAGAGCCTTGTCCTGAGATCCAACCTGAGCCTGCCCTGGCACAGCTCCAGGTCCTGTCCCTGGTCCCCCCAGGGCAGAGCTCAGTCCTGCCCCTCCTCTGCCCCTCCTGAGGGAGCTGGAACTGCAGTGAGGTCTCCCCTCGCTCTCTGAGCCCTCAGCTGCTCCTCACCCCTGAGATGTCCATGACCTCAGCCCAAATTCCTGTCTGAAGGGTTCTCATGGCCTTCCCCTCAAGGCCCTTCACCACCATCTTCATTGCCCTCCTTTGGATGCTCTTTAATCTTTCTTAGACCCCCACACTGGGGCTGCTCAGACCCCCCAGCACTGAGGATCCTCCCCACACAGCTCCTCCTTTGCTTACTGAGCACTTACACCCTCCTTACCCAAAGACATTTCCATGGTCCTCATTAATCCCTCACAATCCCCTCAACCAACCCCTTTCTCTTTTTGTTTCCGTTTCCAACATGAACTCTGTGTTATTAGCCACTTTTTTTTTCCTAATTATATATACTCCTAAATGTATTATCACACTCATTATGCAAATGAAAAGGCTTAATGAAAGCAGGAAAACGAAGCAGGAAAAACAGTGGCACTGATGCTGCTTCCTTTCAAAGCTGAGACCAAACTCCTGTTGCTGTCAGTGGGATCAGGACTTGGACCAGAGGTTAAATCCAGGCAGAACTTTAATTTTCTTGCATGTACAATCTGTAGCACAGGAATTCACACAATTCTACATGATGTACATTAAATTAAAAAAAAACCAAAACCAAACACAATGTTGCTGTTAAAACCACCTGTCTAAATTACAGCTCCACTTCCACCAGTCTCCAAAGCACGTTCCTGGCACTACAATTTTAGTTCTGAAGCGTGAAATCCACAAGCATTAAAATTTTCAGGGAGCCGATCGATAGGGGAAGGAAGATGATTTACAGTCCTGCTGCCAAATAAAATCACACAAACTAAACAGGAGATACAATGCCATTCTGGGGGATGTTAAAGACCCGGAATTTCACCCTCTCTGCTCATGGGCTGATGTTCCCGTTCAGTGCAAGTGCAGATGCCTTAAAATCCTGATTCAACCCTTGAATCCCAACCAGGGAGCACAACTAGAGCTGAGCCCAGCAGGACCTGAGGCCACCAAACTCCCTGTCCCATTCCCTGGGATGTTGGACTAACATCCAGGAGTTCTCCCGAGCCCCTTCACCACCTGGATCTCCCCTTCCCAAGGCTCCAGCTGCATTTCCAGGTCTCTGTGCTGCACATCACCCCCTCTCACGCCAATCCCTTGGTTCTCTCACCTTCCAGCTGCTCTGCCAACGCCCACATGGAATTCCCAGGCTCTGGCACCCCTGGAGATGCCCCCAGCACCATTCCATTACTGGTCCAACCCACACACGGCTCCCAGTGGACACAATCAATGATTCCCAATGCCTGGGATTAATAAGAACTTGCCAAGAATTCCAATTTCTGCCCCTGACCTTCCAGAACCTGGAGAAAAGGAGACCTGAGCAAAGGACAGTGTCAGGTCGAGGGAAGCAGCAGGAAAAGAGGAATTCTTTCAGGCTGGAATGACCAAGCCTGACATCCCCATCCCTTGCACTGCCCTGCCTGTCTCACACTTCCATATTTAGCTCATTTTTCCATGTGCTTGGCTTGGTCTTAATCCCTTCTGAGAGGACTCTGTCCTCGGTGCAGCCTCTCCTGAGGCCCAGGAGGAGCAGACAGGGAAGCCCCTGCAGGGAATGGAGGTTTCCTGCTCAGAAACATGGAATGGTTGGGCCTGGAAGGGACCTTGAAGATCATCTCATTACAAGCCAACGACTCCCAGGTCGCTCCAAGCCCCATCCAGCCTGGCCTTGGACACTTCCAGGGATCCAGGGACAGCCACAGCTTCTCTGGGAAATCCTATTCCAGTCCCTCCCCACCCTCCCAGACTGGGAATTCCTTCCCAACATCCCATCTAACCCTACTGTCAGTTTGAAGCCATGGCTCCAGCAAAGCTTCCAGCGAGCTCTGCCCTTCCAGCCACCACCTCCTGAGTTTCAAAGCTCCAAAAGCTTTTCCTCTCCACTCTTTTTCAGGAGATTTAATCCCAGATGATCCCAGGGTGAACACAACACATTCCTTCTCCCAGAAGTTTTGCAAGGCCAAAAAAAAAAAACCCAAAAAAAATTGTTCCCAGGCCTCAGTTATTCCAAATACAACCCAATGCTCAGGGCTTGGAGCAACCTGGGATGTTGGGAGGTGTCCCTGCCCATGGCAGGGGGTGGGGCTGGATGGGATTTAAGGTCTTTTCCAACCTAAACCATTCTGGGATTTTAGGATTCCCTTGAACCACAGATCCAAGCTGCTCCTCCCCTGGAGCTCCTGCCAGGACAGGGATGTCCTTGGTTAAGTGTCCACATCATGTATCACACTCTGACCTTCAAAGAACCTGTTAATCCTTAATTATTATTATTTATTAAGTAGAACAGCAGCTCTAACTCCTGACATGCTGACATTCCCTGTGCTAGGAATGCTGCTCCCTCTCCACACCCCTCAGGAGTTCAACATCCTGGGACGTGGAGTGGGGATGGTTTTGAACCAGCACCTCCCACACCACCAATCCCCAAATCCCGAAATGCTGGAGCAGAGGCACGGAGCAGAAAGGTAAGAGAGGGTTCAGCACAGCTCATCGGCCTTCAGACAAAATTAGAAGAGTCAGCAACATTATTCCAACATCCTTTAAATCCATATTTCATTAATATTACATTTTCCTTCATATTATATTCATCTAACTCCAAATTACATCTGAAATGTCCTTCATTTTCAGTGTCTGGGCCACTATTCCAGATCCATTAGGTTTGGGAAGGCAACACAGAAGAGGAAAAACAGCCCCCCTGGGGAATTACTAAGGCCAAAGAAAACACTCTTTAAAGAGGAGATTAAACCACCAAAAGCAAATATAAAAAATATCCTTATTTCTTCAAGTTTTAAACTCTTATGGTTCAGAAGGCACCACCTAATTAGGAAATGTCACCTCCCTCCCTCCTGCAGGAATATTCATTACAGCTCCTCCTGCCTCCAGGGAGGCATTCCAATGAAATACCCTAAGCACTGATTTTCTTTGTGACATTGGAGAGGGATCTGTCCGGTGCTGACACCCAGCAAACGTTCCAGGAAGGAATCCAGCCTGGCAAGGCACCCACTGGGAGCAGGGAAAGCTTGGCAGGAGGAAAAGACTCAACAACAACCCCCCCATCCTTCTGCTGCAGGGAAGTTGTGGCACCATCTCCTTCATCCATGGAAAACGGCACCTTCTCACCCCTCCTTTCTCTGTGTCTTCTCACATCCTCATGGGACAAATGTTCTTCTTGTTGGGTGCTTTTTTCCAACCATTTTGAGGTTTAGGTGGGATATTGGGAAGGAATTGCTGGCTGGGAGGGTGAGGAGGGGCTGGGATGGAATTCCCAGAGAAGCTGTGGCTGCTCCTGGATCCCTGGAAGTGACCAAGGCCAGGTTGGACAGGGCTTGGAGCAACCTGAGACAGCAGAAAGTGTCCCTGCCCACGGCAGGGCGTGGAACTAAAAGGTCTTTATTATCCCTTCCAACCCAAACCAGCCAGGAATTCCATGATCTGAGCCCAAATTCACACCTCAGGAGCTCTCCAGGCATTTTCCCTGCACGTCTCTGAACTGGAACAAACTTCCCACTACACAGAGATCCCAAGTTTTCCACCCTTGCCCAGCAGCAGGAACGATGAGCAGCAGAGTAATGAGCTGTAAGAGTGGAGGGGGAGGGAGTTAAAAAAGCCCCACAAATCCATCTGTTCCCAGAAACAGCATTAGGGCTCCCCTAACTCAATAGATACTCCTCTGATAAGCTTTGCAGTGTCAAAATTAGGTCAGGCCCTGCCAGCAGGGCTGGGAAGCAGCCGTGGGATTGAATCAGCTCCCAGCCTGGTGGTGTTGGGGTTATCAATCATTGCAGCTCCACAAACACACCTGAAGCCACGGAGACACCACTAAATACAGAGCAAAGGGGCAAAACCCCACCCAAATTTGGATAAAAGGTGACTTTGTCCTTCTAGGGGGGTGAAAGGTCAGCTCAGGAGGGGCCAAAATAATGTCTCTGTGTGTCTAAAGTGAGAGCAGGTAGGAAATATCTCAGTATGGATTGCAGCAGGAGTGTCACACCTGATTTAAATCAAACTCCCTCACTCAGGTCAGCGTGGCAGTCTGTGCCTAAAAGCTTCCTCCCTTCCCTGGAATTCAGCTCCAAAGTGAAGGATGTAGCAATAAATCAAATATTTATTTTTTTTATATATATATATTTATATTTTTATATACTATAAATTATAAAATATATATTATAAATGTCTTTATTTTTAAAAAAATACTTGTACCATATTTTGCACCTTC